TTCCGTCACTCGGAGTACGAAATGTGCCTCGTTTCCCGTGCCCGGGCTAACTCCTATTCTGAACACGATGCAATATGCATGACATGCATGAAATGCAACTAAGGTACAAGCCTAGCATGCACAATGCTATGAAAATGAGATGCCTCGAGATGCGTGCACATGGGCACGCAAACCGAGAAAGTGACATACGCAATGCAAATGATAAAGAAATATGATATGGGCTTACACTAACATGAGAGAGCCTCAGCCACACTCACATAAGAGGCCGATGGATGCAAAATGAAGTGCCTCAAAATGCGTGCACACGGGCACGCAAACTGAGGCAATGGTATATGCAATGCAATGGCATGGAAATGGCATATAGAATGCAACATGGACTTATACTAACATGAGAGAGCCTCAGCCACACTCACATAAGAGGCCGATGGATGAAAATGAAGTGCCTCGAAATGCGTGCACATGGGCACGCAAACCGAGGCAATGGCATATGTAATGCAATGGCATGGAAATGATATATAGAATGCAACATGGACTTATACTAACATGAGAGAGACTCAGCCACACTCACATAAGAGGCCGATGGATGAAAAAGAAGTGCCTCAAAATGCGTGCACACGGGCACGCAAACCGAGGCAATGCATACGCAATGCAATATGGCTAGAATGGCTAGAATGGCATATAGAATGCAACATGGACTTATACTAACATGAGAGAGCCTCAGTCGCACTCACATAAGAGGCCGATGGATGAAAAAGAAGTGCCTCAAAATGCGTGCACACGGGCACGCAAACCGAGGCAATGGCATACGCAATGCAATATGGCTAGAATGGCATACAGAATGCAACATGGACTTCTACTAACATGAGAGAGCCTCAGCTGCACTCACATAAGACGCCGATGGATGAAAATGAAGTGTCTCGAAATGCGTGCACACGGGCACGCAAACCGAGGCAATGGTATATGCAATGCAATGGCATGGAAATGGCATATAGAATGCTACATGGACTTATACTAACATGAGAGAGCCTCAGCCACACTCACATAAGAGGCCGATGGATGAAAATGAAGTGCCTCGAAATGTGTGCACGCGGGCACGCAAACCGTGGCAATGGTATATGCAATGCAAATGCATGAAAATGGCATATAGAATGCAACATGGACTTATACTAACATGAGAGAGCCTCAGCCACACTCACATAAGAGGCCGATCGATGAAAAAGAAGTGCCTCGAAATGCGTGCACATGGGCACGCAAATCGAGGCAATGGCATACGCAATGCAATATGGCTAGAATGGCATATAGAATGCAACATGGACTTATACTAACATGAGAGAGCCTCAGCCGCACTCACATAAGAGGCCGATGGATGAAAAAGAAGTGCCTCGAAATGCGTCCACACGGGCACACAAACCGAGGCAATGGCATACGCAATGCAATATGGCTAGAATGGCATATAGAATGCAACATGGACTTATACTAACATGAGAGAGCCTCAGCCACACTCACATAAGAGGCCGATGGATGAAAAAGAAGTGCCTCGAAACGCGTGCACACGGGCACGCAAATCGAGGCAATGGCATACGCAATGCAATATGCATGGAAAATGACATGCAAACATGTTAATGGATTTTTAGCAATGAAATTTGGGGGAAAACAGCCCCGAAATGAGGCGAAAACACACCCGATGCATGGAATCTCTCCCGAAATGCAAATTATGGCACCCGAAATGGCCTATAGCTATACCAAACATGCACAATATGGACATGCAATGAAAATACAGATGTAAGACAGCCTCAAAATAAGCATTTTTACAGTACAAATCATGGCCAAACAGCAAGCAAAGATAGGGCAATAATGGCATGCAAAAATGGCCCTAAACATGAGATTATGAAGCAACTCACAGCTGCTGTCCTCAAACAGGTTAGGACCCTTGAACAACATTGAAGAGGGGCCAAAAATAAGCCACTTTACAGAACTGTAAAAACCCTAAAAACAAACACAAGTATGGCTGCACTCCCATGCAAGAAAAAGGGCCAAAAGGTGGCCAAAGAGGCAAGTGGTATATGCAAAGCCCAAACTGAAAAATTCCCTTCTACAACATTGAAGAGGGACCAAAAATATACATATTTACAGAACTGTAAAAATCCCAAAACAGTATACAAACATGCTAGAAATGCAATGCAAAACGAGGCTCAAAAGTGGCTATAACACAAAGTATGCAAAATATTCATCAAACAGCCAAAGACCCTTAATGAAACATGAAGGATGCTAAAGCATAAAACTATTTTCAGACTAGGGCTTGGGAAAACCGTAAAAGGGGAAATCTTCTCCCTCTCAAACAACGCGACCATTCAGCGTTCCCTGGATTAGCCTATGGATAAGCTCATAGTGTTTCCCGACTTGGTTGGCTCGGGCTTTGCCTCTGATTTCTCTTCCTTTCCTGATCCAGTCCTCTTTAGTGGGCACATAGCCTAGTCCAAAGGCATGTGGGTTGTGCGACACATTTGTTAGTGTTGCAACACCTTTCCAGCCACTTCTTCCAAGCCCCATTCTTGGTACATGCTGCAGTTTGTTCATGAGATAAATAGACTAGGCGCTGACGCATATGCCTTCGTCTGTGGTCTCCATTACCAGGGTTTTAACCAGAGTGAAGCCCAAGAGGAATACATCCTCCTCGCCATGGGTGATCTCCAACATTGGCGTAGTTACCTCCGATGGTGGGTGAATGGATGAATTCTCAAAAACAATCACCACTCCTCCCCCATGGGGGGTACTTCAACAATTATTGGAAAGTGGAGGGGACAACTTTCACATGATGTAACCAAGGCCTCCCTAACAATAAATTAAAGGTAGCCAGCACATCCAAGACATGGAACTTGACATCTTGCTGAGTTGGCCCACCTGAACTTTGATTTGCACCGTGTCCATGACCCATCTGCTCGTATTATCATATACCCGAATTACTTGGGCTGTAGGAACAAAGTCCGCTGGCTTAAGGCCAATTGCATAGGCGGTGCGAGAAGGACAGATGTTGATGGCCGAATCGGTATCTACCAATAGCACCGGTACCTATTTCTCCCTGCACTCCATAGATATGTACAAGGGTTTGTTGTGAGCCGAGCCATCTAGCGGCAATTCTTCATCAGAGAAGGTAAGGGTTGGCCTAGCCCCACCTGGGAAGACCAATCCCACAAGCTGTTTGGGGGTAGTGTCAATAGACAATTTAGCCTTGTCCATTGCTGATAATACTACGTGTCGATGCACCTAGGAGGCCACGAGAAGACCCTAGATTAAGATGTTAGCTTGGATTTTCTTAAGCTATTTCAAACCTACCTCTTCTTCCAGCTGCTTCTCTTTCTTCGTCTTTACCTCTCTGTCTTTTCCAGATGCCTCAGCTTGATCTAAGTATGGTGGGTTAAAATATCACCCACTTCTTGTCATGTGATCTATTTCTTCAGCATACCACGTGTTGTCTGCAAGGCACTCACCCTAGTCTTCGTGTGTGTGGGCCAGATGCAGATCGTCATTGTCCCACCATACACCTTCAGCAGTTGACAAACAGTTGTCTTATCATGGCCCAAACCCGCCCCTATGGATTAAGGCCATAACCGGCTAGTAATCAAGGGATTACCTACGGCCTTAAACCAATTAAAACATATTTCAATAGAGTTAAGGGGCCAAAACAGAAGCAAGATTAAAAACTTTGTCCATAGAGCTGTGCTTACATGATATAGCCAAATCATTCCAAAGATATTTCGTAATAACTCACACATACCCATAGCGTTAATTTATATCGAGGAACCTTCAGTTATGCAATCTGCCAAACAAAACTTATATACAAAGGTAACCCAACGATTTCGCCAACATTAGCAAAAATATAACAAAAGAACAAAAGGGCAAAACAAGTCTCGTGCGTGAGATGTTAGGGCTGACTCCCAAAACTCTGACTATTTCTCGTATACTTTACGGAGGTTGGGTTTGAACATCTCTTGCCTCACCTACATACACATGAATGAGAGTGAGCGAAAGCCCAGTGAATAATATCAAGTAAAGAAGTACATCGTCCAAGTTTCATCTTCAACGTGAATGGGGTGTCTACAGTTGCTCCTCTTTGACAGAACTCGAAAGTCACAAGTGACGGGAGTGAATGTCAAAGCCCAGAGACGACCCATTTTTGACAAGGCCGAAGACTTAGACAAACGTACAAAGTAAGCAGAGATGTGCCCGCAGGCAGGCCCGCAGGCAAAAGGGGGCAAAATGCAAAATGATATGCCGGGAGATTTTGAAGATTGGACTTATACGCTACGCGAAGCCGGTTTTGAAAGTTGGACTTATACGCTATGCGAAGCCGGTTTTGAAAGTTGGACTTATACGCTACGCGAAGCCGGTTATCACTCATGATCATGCAAAGAGAGCTGTAATGAAGGAACAGTTTTAAGCAAGTGAATACAAATCTAACTACATTTCATGCAGAAGGATGTAAGAAAATTATGCAATTCTCACTGCGTCTCACGCGGAGAAGGCTAAAAGCGACTACTGAGAAAACCCGGAGTCCTACACACAACATCTCTCTGCGTATCACACATAGGAGAGGAAGAAGGTAAACCTCTCAGCGTATCACACGCAAAAAAGGGAAGGTAAACTTCTCAGCGTATCACACGCAAGAGAAGAAAGGCAAATTCCTCAGCATATCACACGCAAGAGAAAATCTCTCAGCATATCACATGCAAGAGAGAAAAGGGAGATTTCTCAGCGTATCACACGCAAGAGAAAACCTCTCAGCATATCACGTGCAAGGGAGGAAAGATAAATTTCTCAGCGTATCACACGTAAGAGAAAACCTCTCAGCATATCACATGCAAGGGAGGAAAGGAAAAATTTCTCAGCGTATCACACGCAAGAGAAAACCTCTCAGCATATCGCATGCAAGAGAGCAAAGGGAAATTTCTCAGCGTATCACACGCAAGAGAAAACCTCTCAGCATATCACATGCAAGAGAGGAAAGGGAAATTTCTCAGCGTATCACACGCAAGAGAAAACCTCTCAGCATATCACATGCAAGAGAGAAAAGAGATGGATGAACACCGGAACTCATCCGAATGTTCGAAACCAAAGATACCCTAACGCATCGCATGCGAGAGGAGAAAAGACGATAATTGTAAGTGAAAAGGTGCATAACGATGCAGGTGAAGTGTACATAACAATGCAAGTAATGAGCATTATAATGCCAGATACAATGCTAGATAAATGTGCATAACAATGCAAGTAATGAGCATAACAATGCTAATAAATGTGCAAATCAATGCAACGAATGAGCATAACAATGCTAATGAAGTGGGTGCATAACAATACAATTGGAACGTGCATCACAATGCAAGCATGAGAAGTGCATAACAATGCGGGTGGAAGGATGCATAACAATGCAAGTGGAGTGTGCGTGACAACGCATATTTGACACAGAATGCCGAACAAGGGAATACAAGCCTTAAGTAGACCAATTTCCAAACGCAACCTCCGATTTACCTCTCGGAGGGGCCATGATACATTCCAAAAAGGATACACCTCATGCATACCGACCGACGATGAGCTACACATCGAAGTCATGAGTTGAAAATTCCACAGAAACCTTTTGAGCTGAAAAGAGTGGGTTCTTCTTGCACTTTCTTGACTGTACTCCTAAATCGTGGTTACTACCTTTCCTTCCTGGTCATCTTCACAACTTTCCCTATTCTCCAACGGGGTGACAGACTAGGTTGATTCAGTATCCAGAATCGAGGCGCATTCACATGCTATCTCAATCTATGGGGCTGCCATACAGATTTCAAGCCGAGGATAGACCCCTGGGTATTTAAACCAGACTTTAGTCTCGGAAATTCCAAACCTTTGCGTTCTAGGCAATAGCCGTCCGAACTCTAGTTTCCACCGTCGCAGTTGGTCTCCTAGGAACTCATTGCAAACACAGCCAAGATGCATCTGGTAGGGGCTGGTTTTCTGAGGGAGCACTTCGATTGCCATTCTGGCATGAAGCGGACTTGATCTTGAGCTTGAGGTAGAGGCACACTCATACTTCGAAGCTTTGGCAAGACTTTGAAGAGGTACACGCAGAATGTAGTCTCGGAACTTACTGAAGTTGAAACAAACTCAGATACCCGACATTTTCTTCTTTTGCTTTTGCTTTGCAGTCCGGAACCATATATAGCTTCAGATAGGTCCTAGTTCTACTGTTCTCACATGACCTGGGTTGAATCCTGCGATTTTATGAAAGAACAAATTTTGTTTTGTACAAATGTGGAGAATGGCATGGCACTCGGAGCACAAAACGATTTTATTTTTGAAATTCAGAGATGAGCTTTCGACCAAGTATTGAGCCTACGACTGAACATAGCAAAACGACTCAACAAGGAAATAAAAGGCACACAACCTAGACACATCGAGTAAACTCGAAACGACTCAAAACAAGAATCGAGATAAAACAAAAAGACACGAAAGGATAGTACATTGCCAGCTAAGGATGAGGAGGTGCCGGCCATCTGTAGGGCACTACCGGCCACTGATGTGCTGTGACACCAAGCTGCAACAAAGCACAAAATAGAGAAAATGGAGGGTCTTCCATTTTCTGAAAAAGCCCTTTTCTCACTTTTTCTCTCATCGTACATCTCTCTATTCTTCAATCTCATTTTTTTTCATCCCTCCCCTGGGCGGTTGATGTCAAAACAGCAAATTGTGGGCTCGTGTCCCTAGCATTCTGCTAGATTCTCTTTCTTTCGCTCACAGTTAGTGAATTCTTCCCACGGAAAGGTTGCGCTACAACTGGGTGTGTAGCAAATCTGCAGCTAACATCAGTTGACGATGCTTTGTTGGGGAGTTTGGACGTGATAAGATCTGTCCAGATGATGGAGTGGAATATCTTGCCCCATTCTAGTTCGTGCTTCGTACTTTGCTTGATATCTCGTTGCTTGGAGGATGTGAGAGCTTTCTGCCCTTTGTTGTGCCCTTTTCTGGCAAATACGGTGCCCTTTTCGACAAGTAGAGTGCCCTTTCCGGCAATTATTTTGACAAAGGGAAAAAGACAGAACACCTGACTCAACTGTGCCCTTAGTTCATCATTTTGACCATTTTTGTTTTAGTTTTCTCTTAAAAAATTTTGACCAAAATGAGAGTTAGATTAACGCGCTTGTTCGATTTTCTGATTTAAAACCATGCAAGTTAGGCTGTGAGCACTGAAAATTTTCCTCTTTTGGGTCCAAGAAATGGTCCAGTTTTAAAAATGGAATACTTTTCGAGAAGATTAGTCAACCTTAGTAAAAATTCTCAAAAACTATTTTTGCAAATGACCACTGCTCAACAAGTAAGGAACCTAGTCTCGAGATGCACAACCTCGAATTTGAAGGAAGATTGCCCCTTGCTTGACGGGAACTGCATGGCAACGGAAAGTTGCCCCTTGTTTGAACGGCACCGCGGCACATTAAATGGCAACGAAAAGTTGCCCCTTGTTTGAACGGCGCCAAGGCGCATTGAATGGCAACGGAAAGTTGCCCCTTGTTTGTACGGCACCGCGGCGCATTGAATGGAGTCCTCAGAGCAACGAACACAACCTGACTCTCGGATACAGAGAAAGCGAAGATGATCAGAACCATCGCATGGACACAATCGAATTGTTTTACGGCTGGACTTCAGAATGAAGTTGCCTACGTATCCCAAAGATGGGAATCAAGCCTGATAAATGATTTAAATCACCGAAGCCCAAATTAGTTTGATAATGAGTCAACTTCACCGTAAAGTTGAGATCTTCAACTTTAGCCCGTTTAATCAGTTATTTATTAGTCATATAAATGGAAAAAATGATATTTTCATATATTTTATACTAAAATGTATATTTTATCTTATTTATTTTTGCGTCTTCACACTAGTTGCATTAGTTTCCGTTCCTTTAGCTTTATTATAAAGGAGGTTGGTGTAATTAGCCAAAACTATGGAGCTTATTATATTTTCTCTAAAATTCAAGAAGTCGTTGCATCCACATCATGTTAGAAATTTATGTTTGATTTTATAATCGATTTCTGTATTACTAATCTTTTTCATATAATTAAATTATATACATATACATACCTTTGAGTGGTGCAAGGCCTTTGTCCAACAGAGCACGAAACTGATAAAAGCCCATGAAGGCACAAGCAGAAAATGTCCAGAACACAGCAACGGGGATTCGGAGCTCATCAGCTGCTGTAATGGTGAATGGCATTACACCATCAGATACAATGCAAGTGACAGTTGGTGTGGTTGCATTGTTGTTGTCCTCGTTGAGTTGGGCGAGGAGGTTGCGAAAAGGTGTCAAGAAGTTCCTTCTGACTGATCCACATAGGGCAATTGCGTCTTGGGTGGTGTTGGGATCGGATGGTGGGAGGCTATCTGGTATTGTTTTGAATTGGAAATTGGGGAAGCCATTAAGAGAGTCAGGTCCTCTGGCTTTGGTAAGGCGGTTTTGGTTGAACTCTGTGCTGACAAAGGTGATGTAAAAGCCCCTGTGGTGGAGAAGCTTGACTAGTTTTAGCATTCCTTTTATGTGGCTTTGAGCTGGGTATGGTATGCAAACTGCATGAGGCTTATTGTCACTTGCCATTGCTTTGCACACTTGTAGATCAGTCTGTCTCTTCTCTTCTTTTGTGTGTGTCTTTGTGTTATGGTGTGCACTGTAAAACAATGGAGTGAGAGTCAGAGTGAGTACTCTTTAATGTTGGTATTGCAGAGGTTTAAATAACTTCCATCTTGCTTATCACGTCCATAATATTTTATTGATTAACTCCAAAGTTTACATTAACTACCAATCCAAAAAAAAAAAAGTTTTCATTAACTAAAAGAAGGAAAATAACAAAAGAAATCACAACATATCTAATTATTTGTATTTAAAAAACAGAAAAATAGAGATAAAAACTAAATTCAGAATATCTATAGTGTATATTCATACATGTCTATTCTTTTAACAAATAATATAATGAATCTATTAGTTACGATTATAAAATTATTTACTTTTTTTGCGCGTGAGAGTGGGATACATTCGAAGGCGTTTTCAAACGGGTTAAACGGTACCGTTTTATTAAATTAAAATGTGAGATGCATACAAAGGTGTTTTTAAACAGGTTAAACGGTACCGTTTCATTAAATTAAATTGCGACGTTTATAAAACGCCGTTAAATATTAAAAAATGTGACGTTTAAAAAAATGCCGTTAAAAAAACGCCATTATACCACACATTTCCTGTAGTGAGAAGTCTATAAAAATTGCATTAATGACATGAATAAGGTTGATTGGTGGTTGTTTTGAAATGAATAAAGAGTGGTCGGAGCAGGATGGATCTAGAATTTGAGTTTTGAGTTTTGAGGGGCAAAAACACAAGTAATTTTTTATCGAAAAAAGTAATCTAAAATTTGAAATTTTGATTTATACTAGCACCAAAAAAAAAAAAAAAAAAAAAAAAAA